GGTAATCAATCCACTGGGGTATTACTTACAAACCAGCATGTGGATTTACGATATATTAAAGAGCACAACAACATTACCTTTATCCTGTTGCTGGAAGGAGGAGCGCCTGGAGCCCGGCAACGACCGCGAGAAGTCTTTGCCGAGTTGGTACACCTCCACCTCAAGTGTCTCCGACTGCGAGGAGCCGCGCCGCGAGCCCGCCACCCAAGCGTGGTCTGGGTGTAGCAGGGACGCGCACTCCCCGATTGAATCGACGTCATCTGGGTGAAAAGTTTATAACAAGATAAACGACAAAATTATGCCGTGCATCAATTGCTACTTGCAGTTGGTTTTTGTTAATCCATCCGAATAAAATCACAGATGGCGATAGATTTCAATTACCTGATATGGATCGCTGCGAGGCGAAGTCCCCACGGCGCAGAGCTCGCGCGCCGGCGAGGGAGCCGCGTGGCGAGGCGCTGGCAGACCGTGTGCCGCGCTCCTCCAGTGTCCACCAAACCGCACGCTCCTCCGCAAACGCTTTCTCTAGTTCCATCTGCAATATTTTTATTACTCTTCATACTTTACGGACATTATTAACACATTTAGTGTTATCAAATAAACTGCTAAGTTTATTTTTATTCGCAAAAAATAATTAGCATGGTTTTAGAAGAAAATATACACTAAATAGAAAGTTATAAGTAAAAAATCCTTATAACAAGAAGGAATAATAAATAAATTCACTGTATGTATAAGACATGATACACACGGTGCATTCTCCGACGAGGACAGGGTCGATGCCGGGGCAGGCGTCCCACAGGGTGAGCTCTAGCGCACGCCCGGCCAACAGGTCTGCGCTGAGACCGCCGAAGCCCAGCGTCGCGTTCCATACGGGACTGCACGATGCCGACGCCGGGTCCGTTTCCACCGGCGGACAGCTCTCCCTGATACACATGTAACGAATGCACGAATACATCGAGTGGAAGTATAAGTAGGGAATTAAAAAGCACTCTTGATAAGCGTCTTCTTATCAACTCACAATGATGGCAAAAGACGTATCCTCGCGAAGGCCTCCGGTTCGTCCCCGTAGCCGAGCGTGTGGTCGCGTGGCGGCAAATCGTCAGCGGCGATTAGGACCACCACTAACTTTCGCAGTTCCGCCTCGAACCAGACCTGCAGCTGCGCACGCGCCGCTGGCCGCTCACGCTCCCTCTCCCGCGCCCTCTCATTGCGCTCCTGCTCCTGAACACAAAAGATACATTCACATATCTATCCAGATATAAACAAAATCAAATTATCAGTCTACCTGTCATTCGCTGGCCTTACTGAACCTACTGCTAGTGTAAATCTAAAGGAGAGGTCCATTTTATGGAAAATTATTTCATAACTTTATATGCAAAATCTATTTTATAAACCAGGGAAATGCATCTCTTAACATGCAAAAACTATGAGTTCTTCGATAGCGGATAATTTTTTTTTCTCAAAACATTCTCTGCGATTGTAGCATTTCAACATTTTCGTCATTAAAGGAAGTAGTTCATTGTTTCTTTATATTGCAAACATTTTATAAAATAACATGCTGTTCGGGCTTAGGCATCGCTATGTATAGTACATAAATGAACAAAACCTGACGCACTCGTCCGCCATGCAGAAAGCTGTATCATGCTGATACTGGTTCAAGCCCCATGTATTGCGATTTGAATTTCTCGTTAAGATTAAATGACTTGTCTAGGGAATCAAATGTTGTATCAAATAGGTTACTAATTAAAACATTCCATGTGAAATGTTGAATTTAACGATATGTAGATAATGACTCGGTAGCTAGAATTCGCTAAATATGTTAAGACATTTACTAAAGCGAATATGCGATGAGTGTATTTTTTTAGTGTAAATTGGATAGATTTTTCTACATAACACATTGGGAAAACGAATGGGAACAGATTCACTTCATCCACGAAATCAATCACATACAAAAGTATTTTTTACAGAATAGTTAGTGAACAATCTATTATGATAAACCTGTTAATGTTATTTAAATAGTTATATGTTTACGAATTATGGTAATTTCATGTCACACGCAAAGGCTTCAGTCCAATACGGTGCTTTCTAGGTCAATATGCACATCACACTGTGCAATCATGCATATGTATCACTCTGTATAAATTGTAACAATGATCTACGTCAGTAACGGAGCTGGTATGTACAGCGTGTCGCTGTGGGCTGCGAGGAGCCGCAGACAGAGATCGCGTCGCAAGCGCCAGTCGCGTAAGGTGTTCCTCCAAGCTGCTATGTGGCTACGCGTTCCGAGCGTCCGACGGATAATGTGCGGCATTACACTACTCTAAATCAACAGCAAGACTTGGTAACAGACTCGAGGCGCAAGACATGACACGGTACAAACGGGAGAGTGCGTCGAGTGTGGGGCGATGGTAACAGTTGGCAGACTAGCGCGTGCCCGGAGTGCGCTCACCTCGCCTGCTCCTCGTATCCTTACGGCCGCTTCTCTTTTTTGAAGTTCTGATGCTCCACGCCTGGCTTCAGCCAGGGTCACGTCTCCTCTCTATATCTTTAAGTTACTTACTTTTCGCAAAAAGTATAATTCGATTGTGTCGATAGTAATCTTTTGAATGTTTCATGTATTTTGTTTCCGGCTAAGCTGAAAGCGGCGGCTTCTCTAGATTTACTACATCGTATTTATTTTTTGGTAGACAATTAAACTATTCATCCTCGGATATCCTAGGAGTAATGTTCGATACCGAGATGACTTTCCTAAGCTACCATTGAACACTAGAACTGAATGTAGCATTAACTACACTTACTGGAACAATTTAATTATCATGGTATTTGGTCACTTTTGCCGGGTGTGTAATAAATTCAACTCCGGCCGTCGGCGTTGGACGACATTATGAAATTGGTCGGGTGATAGAAAAAATAAAAATCTGAAAATAATTAGGTAGTATTTTTTCACACACTTCACTTAGGATTATCATATAAAGAATAACGAACATAGATAATAAATCGAGTTTAAATGTTAAGTAAATATTCTTGAGTATGTAAACAAAGTATCCCTTTCAATATAGTAAAAGGTTAACAAATTTCAAATCACAGCTAATACAGTGAGTGATCCGTGAAGCGCAGAGGATAGGCACCGAGTGACAGTCTCTACTAAAGTTCGTGAGGGCGCGAGCGAGTCGCTTAATGTCTTAGGGATTCACAACACTTATTACAATTAAAGCCTATGGGTATTATACCGGGGTTTTCGGCAATTTCCGTCGGGTTGGCGAAGATGGTGTTTTGTCTGTTTCGGGTTCTGTAAAACAAAAATTACAACATCCTATAGATCCAAAACCATTCATTTAATCTTTCAATTATAGTATAAGTTTATAATGAAATCAAAAATAATGAAGATTACTACCGTAAATACGAAGGTCGTGAAGAAGAAGGAGTAGAAGTTGAAAGTGTCGAAGCTTGTGGAGCTAGGAAGTGAAAGCACATAAAGAAGGAACGAATCAATACACAGAAATGTTGAGTAGTGCAGACAGAACAAATAAACAGCAAATAAATGAAGCCTAAATGGAACAAAATGGTCTAAAGAAATATTGTAGGACTTATTTAATAATGTAGTTTCATTTTAAGCGTGGCCTTGAATACATTATGTTTACCGACAAAAATTATACAAAATTTACTACCGAGGTAAATTTGATTACAGTAACAGCCTGGGATTTGTTATCTCTTATCAGCAAATTAATTGCTATGTTGGACTCTTTTCATGAGATATTCCCAAAAGTAGGCTCATTCGCGTCTAGTTCTCAATGTTATTTTTTGTTTGTGGAAAGTCACTTACAAAGTCGATCTAAAACCTAATTTATCTTTACACAGCCTATTTTGACTTTTGTGAGGCTGTACTTATCATCTTGTTACAAGAGGAGGGTGATTACCGTATAGCGCGTGGTGGTGATGGGGGGCGTGGTGCGCGGCGGGCGCGGGTGGGTCGTCCAACTGCGGCGCGGGCTCCACCAGTAGCTCCACGGTGTCGCCGCCGCGCTCTAACACCGCGCACACTTCCTCGAAGCTTCGCTCCGTCAGTGGCACGCCGCACCATTCCAGTACCTGCAATACACGCGTACAACTTGCCTTTAATCATATTTACGTATGCGCAAGTTTTAATCTAAGCTAAAGAGCTAAAGAGATTTCGGTGCTTCGGAGCACTTCAGTGCTCTACCATTGTGTTGTATGATTTTTTAAATGAATTTATTTCATTGTTCTATTTAGTCATATTTTTATGGTCATAAGTAATAATAACGATTAATATTCACCTTATCCCCCTGTTGCAGGCCGGCTAGGTCTGCAGGCCCGCCCGGCACCGTCCACACGATGACGGC